GATTGATTGATGGATTGGATATATCTTTAGGTGTTTACTAGAACTACAATTTCTTTATAATTTTTTATTTACTTCATATCATAATTTTGGAGGAGGTAAAGTAAGTTCCTTGGGTGAAACAATTACTCCATCAACATCAGYATAAGCATATTGACCAGGCATAAACGTCACTCCAGCAAACTTCACAGGGATATCGCGATCACCTTCTCCTTTTTTTATACTCTTTAGYGGCATAGTTCCAAGTGCTTTAACACCAATACTTATTTTTGATATATCTTCTGAATCTCTGATACATCCATACATGATGACGCCAGACCAACCATTGTTAACCGCCATGGTAGCTAAATTATCTCCAAGCATTCCTCTTCTCATSGATCCACCACCATCAACGACGAGAACCTGAAATTGATTACCATGTCCCAAATCAATGTAAATGTTTTTTTAAGTCAAGCACTGAGGAAGGGAGTGCATGATTACCTACGTGTAGTCTCCTAAGCCAGTGGTTAAATACTTWAAAAAATCGATGCCAGCTTGAATTGATCCTTATCACTCTAGCATGACATTATAAAATATGAAGTGTCTAGCTACTCAGGAACSCGGGATTGATTTTCAAAATACTAGATACCCAGTAGCTTTTGATTTTCAAGAAAAATCATATCTTATAATAACTTTCAGGGATTCAAAGGGTTAGGATTAGGGCTTAGGATTTTTCATGAAAATCAAAAGCTGCCAGATACTAGTATCTAGTATTTTGAAAATCAATCCCGGGTGCCGGGTATCTAGACACTGCCTATAAAATATTTGATTTATCAGAATTATTTCCACAAATCAAATATCTTATAATGTCACGCTAGCCTGATAAAGGTCTATTGAAAATTAGAAGTTGATTTTTGCAGAAGGAGGAAAAAATAGAGATGCTGGAGTACCAACATGCAACTCTATACACATATGATACCGAGCCCAGGAACAAACTGGGTCGCATTGGTCACAGAGAACCATGCACCACATTAGCAGTGCAACACACGTTGATGAGGGCATTCCACAAGTTTTCACTTGTCCAAAGTCCGAAGTGTGATGGGCTTCCTGTGGTACAGCTTTTTTCAATGCAACGTGTAAGAACGCTCATATGTTCTTAATATATATAWATATTGGAACTGGAAATCAACACACTTATTCAAGAACCTTTACCTTGCCGTGTCCATGTTCAGATAGGGCTTTTTTCACCAATACGTTGTCCTCAAAACATTTCACGGTAGATATCTTTCCTCCGAACGTCTTTTTACCGCCATAATCTTTGAAAATTGGCTCTGCATATTGGAGAATATCACTATATGCATCACTCAGATCAGCCGTTTTTAATTCAGCCATCGAAGAATTGAAATATCGAGAATAAATAAAATTYACACGTAAACAAGACCTGTACACACGATATAGCATGGTAATTAAAAATGCATCATGGGATCGCCACAGGCAACCCACGTACTAGGAATTGTTGATCAGCAGTTTCTAAAGATGAGTTGCGTGTCTCCGTATTCTGCGTCACGTAAATGCCCAAATTGCGCAATAGTACCCAAAGGTCTTCAAGGCACTACCCAAGAGTCCTTTGCGGACATATGTTACAGGGATCCCATTTAAAGTCTGATTTATATTCAAGTGACAGTTGCCAATCAATGTTCAATTTATCAAAATCATCGTTTGGAAATGGGGCTGGCAATCGTGTGTTGGAAAATAATGTCTACGCATATTCTTTTTTGGATTTCAATTTAACGGATTTGACTAGACAGAAATAGGTTACTCAAAAATAGAAAAGCTTCACTGTTCTATATTTTATTATTTTTGAAATGAAAAAAACAAACAAACAAAAAAACGGAAAAAATGAGCAAAGTGTGAGTAGGTATAATGTTTAGGTCACCCATCCAAGTGCTAACCCTCCTCAGACGAGCTTGACTCAGTATCTTGAACGACAACGATTTATCCACTGGACCACGGTTCCAGGTCAATCAGCATAACAATAGCCGTGAAAACAATGCACCGAATAGACTAGACTTTTTAACATTATACTTTCAACCGATTCCGTGCGTGGCAGAGATGCAAGGGATTAGCCGATATGGTCTGGGGGCCGGCTGGTCTCTCCCCTGATGCTTCGGCTAGAACATTTTCTTGCGTAATTCGTACACCCAAGGGCAGAAGGATTTAATCGCCGTCAGGTCCGAAGTCCATACGCCGCCTCAGCTCTGCGGATGTCTCGGGGGTATGGCACAGTTGAGTCGTATTTTTTGAATTTCTTTTGGTGGGTTCGAATCCCATCTTATCTACATAAGATCTTTCCTTTCTTTTTATACATTTTTTATTAGATTTAAATCTTCRACAATAAGGAAATCTTTTTAGTGAAAAAAGATTTATTCCTAGTCGGTTGCTTATAAGCCTGTATAAGTTCGATCAGACGTTTCACTATAAACATTATGGATCCGCGAAAAGTAGAGCTATGTTTTCCTATCTATCTGGGAACGTTTGCAGACAAGAACATTTACTGCACGAGCTTGGATCTCTATATCATATGCCCGCAAAGGACTAGTGGACTATTGCGCAATTTCTGCATTTTCTGACAAGGAAAATAAACATGCACCCCAGTAAATAATATAATAACAAAGGATGGTAAAAAGGCCGACTGATGAGCTATTTACTCGTAGACCACGAGGTGTCCATGATGTAAACTTTGTAGCGGTGCTCTAGAGGATTGTGGGAGGGGGGAAGAGAGAGAAAGAGATTACGCCCACTCCCCTCCACCTTTCCCTAATCCCCTAAAGCGCCGCTACGCRGCTAAACATGAGGGCGAGAGGTCTAGTTGTTTTACTATTGATCCAAAAATTGATACAAACTTGAAATTGCGGACTGAAATAATTTTTTTTTGCGTTGTTTACTGCCATTTTTCGCTACTTGTGGTCTGTTACTAATATATTAATATAGTAGCTCAGCCAATCAGCGCGCAGGAATCATGCATGTGATAGATCATTAGTAGGTTTAAATTAATTAATATACATAGACACATTCCAAAGGCACTGGGACAAACTGAAGATGGTGTTTAAAGCGTTTATAACGCTACTTATTTTATTTATCAGTGAGTATGTTCTCTCTTTAGAGTAAATATAAATAATTAAAAATTATTGGACATCATGTTTTGTTACTCTAGACCTTGTATCATTCCCTTGAGGACGAGATCTTTGGTTTTGAGTACAGCAGTCCATGACGATGTAACTTCTCAAATAATGCTGGTAAACACAGAAACAATACTCAAGGGAATGACACGTGGYATACGATCGAAAAACTAAAAAGTCTACTGCAATATTATTTACGAAACACCCTGCTAGCAGAGGTCCTTTTTTTCCTTTCTTTTTTCGCTATGTAATGGCTTGTATTTCATCTTTTCGAACCACAAAAATGAAAACCAGCAAAATAAAACGAAACAC